TTTTTGCTTCATTAATTGTAACAATTATTAATCTAAGTCTATAAATGGTATAAGTAAAACATTCAAGTTCGAAATAATGAATTTGATTTACTTTTCTCTCTTATCGCTCGTCCAATTCTTAGTTTCAATAGGTATTTTATACCGATTCAACAATTATTTTAAATTATCTTTTTTGACAAAAGCTCGTTCTGGATGGTAGTAGAGCCAGTGTTTTCCAGATTGATATACATCCAATACAATGTAAGCAAGCAAAGCCAAGGTGTGATTAATGTCGTTTTTAAGTTCATCACCTCCAATCTATCAATAAAAAAAAAATATAAAAGTGATATTCGTAGATGTGTAATATTTTTAAATATGCTTACTCGAAATCGAGGCAATCTACTTCCATATTTTTGTTTTGAAGGTTTTGGGGATTGAATCATACTAAGTTTACCAACGATAGGTCCTGTATTCACATTTATTGTATCAGAAATGTATTGATCTCTTTGTTCACTATTGACATTGAAACCATGAATAAAAGCCATTGTTGAATTGTTATGAAAAGAAATAATACGATATGTTTGTGATATTAAAGTTGACACAATCTGATTAATTTATTGAGTATCTTCATTTTGCTGGATACCTGTTTCCAAATACCGGGTGCGGCATAAAGATTGCAACATTTAATATTTTGCAAATATCTCACGAGGGAACCTATTCAACTGTCCAATCGCTTTTGAGTTCGAACTCAGTTTGAAAGATAGACCCCAGTGAGGTATGAAAAGGCCCAAAAGGATAAGTGCCCATAGGCCTTCCGTCCAGAGTTATAGGCATTTTACTAGATTTTTAGCCTATGGCACAGTATATACCAAAAAATCGAATGACAATATTTCGAGCTGAGATTTCGTCCAACGATAGGTCTATGTACCAATAGAATGCCCTGAAAATTTCAGCTCAAAAGAATGTTTCAATCTCGGGATATTAAACTCCCAAAAATCACGCATATCCCGCGAATGATGCTAGAATTTTTTGGCTTTTGGGTGTTCAATATCTCGAGATTGAAACATTCTTTTGAGCTGAAATTTTCAGGGCATTCTATTGGTACATAGACCTATCTTTGGACATAATCTCAGCTCGAAATATTGTCATTCGATTTTTTGGTATATACTGTGCCATAGGCTAAAAATCTAGTAAAATGCCTATAACTCTGGACGGAAGGCCTATGGGCACTTATCCTTTTGGGCCTTTTCATACCTCACTGGGGTCTATCTTTCAAACTGAGTTCGAACTCAAAAGCGATTGGACAGTTGAATAGGTTCCCTCGTCAGCAGAAATCGATCGTATAATGTTGATTCTTTTTTTAAAAGATGCATTGTGAAAAGCTCTACAAAAAATGTAAGAACAATTCTCCCTACTGACTTGTTCTGATTGTGTCTTCTACATTCAAAATGAATACGTCACATGATGGTGCTATGTCCCACTGTATTAAATATTTGGAAGACTTTTTTTTATTTTGCAATAGAAAGTTATTCATACAGCTTTTGTAGAGGTTTCAACGGCGCATCTTTGAAAAAAAAAACTATCAAGACGTTATCATTTTCCCAAGTCGAGATATTCGCAAAATAAAAAAAGCCTTCCAAATGTTTAGTACAGTGGGACATAGCACCATCATGTGACCTATATATTTTGAGTGTAGCAGACACCATCAGAGCAAGTTAATAGGGAATTGTTCTTACATTTTTTGTAGAGCTTTTCACGATGCATCTTTTAAAAAAAGAATCAACATTATACGATCGATTTCTGCTGAGATATTTGCAAAATATTAAATGTTGCAATCTTTATGCCGCAACCGGTAGATCGGTTCAAAATTCATTGTTTCAAATCTTCTCATCTCTATTTTGTAGCTTTGAATAATGAAGAAAGACTAAAAAACGGATGATTTTGCTTTAAAATTAAGAAAAAATAATTCTTTCTCCTTGGATTCATTTCAACACAACTGTAAGTTCTTTCAAATTAACGTTCTGTAGCAGCTAAATGTTTGAGTAAGGAGTTAGTAAACTTATCAAATTCTTTTGTTAATCATGTCCACTAAAAAAATTGGATTTATAGGACAAATTTTCTTTGTTATCCTGATATTTTTGAATTGTTTTCATAGCAAAATCTTTTAACAAGAACTGTTAAATGTATCCACAATTTTGATTTTCTGTTATTAATATAAGATACAAAAAACCAAAAAAAAAACAACAGGTGTTTTAATATATCTGGCTATGAGTACACTGTACAAATATATCAAGATGGTAGTGCTTTTTTTGGTGCATTATTGCTATTGGAAGGTGCTGCAGCAATTAATT